TTCCAAAGCTGGAATTTTTCTTAATCAGCGGAAATATGCATTGGAAATTTTGCACGACACAGGTCTTCTTGCTAGTAAACCAGTCACAACTCCACTGGATTACAATCACACTTTGGTTGCTGATCATGGTGAAGTCCTATCTGACCCTGCTCCATATCGGCGATTGGTTGGTAGATTGCTATACCTTACAGTCACCCGACCGGATATCACTTATGCGGTTAACTTACCATCACGGTTTATGTCTTCTCCTCGTGACACACACTCGGCGAGCAGCACTTAGAGTGGTGAGATATATCAAATCTGTCCCGGACCATGGTATCCTACTCTCATCTAATTCTTCTTTACGCTTGCACGCCTATTGTGATGCGGATTGGGCTTCTTGCCCCACTTCTAGAAGATCAACCACTCGGTTATTGTATATTTTTGGGTCCAAGTCTCCTCTGTCGGCGCACCAAAAAGCGGTCAACAGTTTCTCGCTCCTCTGCCGAAGCGAGTATCGAGCCATGGCACATGCGGTTAGTGAGCTCACATGGTTGCACACCCTTCTTCATGAATTGGGTATTCCACCACATCCTCGCCACTTTATCTTGTGATAATCAAGCTTCCCTCCATATAGCAAACAATCCAGTCTTTCATGAAAGAACAAAACATGTTGAAATTGATTGTCATTTTGTTCGAGATAAAATTCAAGAAGGAAAACTTCGAACCACATTTGTCTCCTCAAATCAGCAATTAGCGAGATATCTTCACAAAGTCTCTTCTTTCGGCTTCACATACTCAGTTAATTTCCAAGCTCATGTACCTTCCTAGTTCTTGAGCTTGAGGGGGAGTGTTACACAATCAAGAATCTGATATGATTGTAATTATTGTCAAATATTGTAATTAGCTTAAATTGGGATACCTACTTAATATAGGAGAGATACTTGCCTAATTTCTAGAGATTTAGCTTATTTCTCTCCTAATGTTATGTAACGGTCAGTGTATTCACTTGTATATATTTTGCCTCTCAATCAATGAAATATATGCTCTCGAGGTATACTTTCAACAGGTTGTATCTACATCGGTTCTAGAACCGATGTTAAAAGTCCCTGGGAACCGATGTTAAAAGCCTATTTTGTACTAGTGAATGTACGTAATTGAGAGGTAATGGTTGTATTGAATGCATATAGTTAAGAGATAGTGATTGTATTGAATACATGTAGTTGAGAGTTAATGGTTGTATTGAATGCATGTAATTGAGAGGTCATGTCTAGAGGCCTATAAATTGACCATGTACCACTCATTGCAAAAACACATCAAGTGATAATATATAAAGTGTTTTATTTGGATACTTGTTTATCAACATAGTCTTCATAAGCTTTATCGAATATATGTTCGGTTTCATTCTAATTTTTTGTTAATTTATCTGAAAAATCTAAATCAGATTTAGCTAATTGTATAAAGTCTTATTTTGGTTATGTAACAGGAAACACCAGTTCCAGGACCCTGATTCGAACTTCTGTGTCTCAGGTATGGTAGACAATTGAGCTTTTGATGTATGAAATGAAATGGTGACTTGTTATCTCATCTTCCACTATAATGCAGGAAACAAGGAAGAATACTCAGAAGGAGGTTGAAGAACAATTGAGAAGCCTAAAAGAAGAATTGACAAAGATAAAGTAAAGTACAGTTTTCATTCGTGATTCTAAATTTATAATTTTTAGCAAGAAGTAGTAGTTATATAGAACTCTCAATCATCATTTTCCCTTTATTTTATTTTTTTATTGAACCTAATTTGAAGCGTTACATTTGAATTCCATACGGTTGGGGAGGTATCTTTGAATTCTTAAATAAATTTTCAATCTCATTTGAGTTTACTGCATATTAGTTTAGAAATAGCACAATATGAGTAGCTGAACACATTCAAACTTCAGCTTGAAGTTGTGAAACTGATAAACAGTGGTACTATTAATGATGTAAATATATTTGATGGTTTTGTCAGATATGAGAACAAATCGCTACGATCAGAGCGCGAGGAGTGGGAAATGAGAGCTAGGAATTCTGTAGATAAACTTTACAGCTTCAGGAAAGAAAATGAACACCAGGTGATTGCACGACAATCCAAAGTTGAAGTGAGCTTGTGCAATTTGCAGTAATATTTTGATGATTTCAACAGTTTGTGTTCTCCATTTTCAGCTTTTTATTTTGAAGCAAGAAAACGAACTGATGTCAAATGCTGAGAGGGAAGCTCGTCAAATGGTTAATAGTATATCTCAGAGGGTACACCGTTTGCAGATTGCAGTGAAAAGTGGAGCTGAAGAGAGGCAAAAACAAGAAGAATATATACATGTGTTGCAGGTATATATATATTTTCTAAATTGCAGCTCCTAAAATAACTAAGCTTTTGAAGGGAAATTACAGTGCGATTCTAATTGGCAATTGTGAATCTACAGAATGAATGTGCTACGATTAAGATAGAGCTACAAGAACAAAATAAGTGTGTCAAAAGGCTTACACTGGAGCTTGAAAAGACTAAACTTCCTGTGAGAGTAACAGAAGACACAAGACAAAAGTTAGTCAATGCTTCTAGTGAAATTGTAGCTGTTCAATCCAATGCTGCAGGTGCTGAGGTATTTGTTTGTGTTTATTCTCTTCATATAATCTTTTGTTGGATTATATGTTTGAGTCTATAAGCCACTTTTTAGCATGGATTTGGAGGTTTTCTGTTTTTCATTTCTAAATTCTGTGCAGGTGTCCCAGCCAATTAGTTTGAGCAGAAATCCAACCTTTACAAGACAGGTATAATGAGAGAAAATATATAATAGAATTTATTGCTTTCATGTTCAAGACAAAAAATAAATTGAAGCTATTTGTACATCAATTATGCAGGGTTGTTCGATTTGCCTAACCAATGAGAAGAGCTTGGCCTTTGGTTGTGGACACATGGTAATCTCAAAAAACACTACCATTTTCCTCCTTTTGTTTACATGCAATGATGACTGGTAATGGTTCAAATGCAGACATGTTTAGAGTGTGGATACAAAATTCGCAAGTGTCATATATGTCGAAGAAAGATCACCAATCATATCAAGTTATTTCCTGATTAATTGAGGGAAGAAGAGATAACAAGCCTTTCATGTCCTCCATAAAACTTATGTATATGCTTTGTTGATAATATTATGATGTTGGCTTCAACTCTTCCTCAAAATTATCTCTGGTTTTGTTTGTTAATCGATTTTAAAAATAGTTTAATTTTTTTTTTTAAATTAAAAAACTTATTTAGACCTATATTTGAGCGATGGTGGCAATGTTGAATCTTCAAAAATTAGTTTCTTATTCTATGCTTCACTTATGCATTGGATTAACAACATTCTAAGTGGACTTTATTCCATAGATTGAGTTAGGGTATTAGATAGACTTATTATTTTTTTATAATATACGTTGGTTAATAATTAATAATATCTTTTAAATATATCCAAGATTGAACCAAGTTGTTGGACATTATTTTGTGTAATCATCTTCTTCATTTTCTAGTGGCTTCTCCTTGTTTTATTTAACCACGGAATACATTATCAGTCTCATAGTTTTATGTAGTGACTGAAATAACGATTAATATTTTTAGTCGTTATTACATAGCTATTAGCTTTGTGACGGAATGATATAAGTTTAGTTGCGGCAAACATTTCGGTTTCTAAGTTGCATTTATTTTTAGATATAACAACAGCAACCAAATTAGTCACTGCGATTAAAAAGTTTTAGCGACCGAATATGTTTTCGTCGATAAAAACATAAATTTAATTATGAATATATTTAATATCTATTTTTACTTTTTTTCTACACTTCTATATATATAAAATTCAATTATAATATGCATATTTATGATTATTTAAATAAAATTTTGTTTTCATTTATCCTTTTGATATATAAAATATTATTTTGTTAGACGCATCATGCATGTGTACGTACACCAGCTGGGAGAAGATATAAGTTTGGTACTTCTTTTATTTTATTTTTAGGAGTGCCCTGATATAGTTTTTAACACATTTTTTATTGATTTGATTGATTAATTTAAAATACTTCGTAACTAAGTTTTTAATTGTCCTTTTTTGCATAAAATATAATTGGTTTAAAATAAATATTAATTGATTCAATTAAATTATTATACCAAATAATAATTGATTGATTTTAAAACTTATTTTGACTAATTATCAATATTGAAAAAATTAAAATTATTATTAACCAGAAAGGGAAAAAAATTTACAAGGACTTGTTTGATTATTTTTAAAAATAGTTTTCAATTTTTTTAGTTTTTAAAATACAAAAACTTGTTGATATATAATTATTTTGTTAAAAAAAAATTTTAAAAATGTTTTTTTAAATGTTTAAAAATTAAAAAACAAACCTGACAGGAGGTGTTTCTATTTTAATCTTTTTATTAATGAATATTAATATTTTTATCAATAATCACTCATTTTTATTATTATAAAATTGTTAAAATCATTTTTCAATTTTGATCTCAAATTTTCTATTATTTTTTTATTATTTAAAATAAGTTTCAAGAATACAATTATCAAATACATTTTTCCCACTTATTTTTAAAAATAATTTTTAAAATTAATTTCTAAAACTATTTTAATGTTATTTCTAAAACTATTTTAATGTTTCCACACACAATATAATATAATTTGTCTTTAAATTATATAAAGAGTTTTTAAACTTTTTCAGTTTCACATTTATTTTGATAATTTGGAGAGATTTTATATTGTTTAGATTTCAATATAAAACTACTTAGTAAATTAAGTAACCTATCAGGAATTTAAATAATACCAAATGATATTAACCAAACGACGTGGGACTTCCACAATATATTTCTAGATTATCAGAACACTTGATCCGCCAATGTTCCTCTTAGTATATATATATATATATATATATATATATATATATATATATATATATATATATATATTTTGTGTAATGATATAATTTTGGAAATTCTTGTGTCTTGGTCGGTTTTGTGGTCATGGATTTTGCCAGTTGAAAAAAATGTCTACCTTAGGTGGCTTCTTGTTGAGTTTATCCTCTTCTGTATACCCTTCTATACCTTCTTGAGTGACATACCAGTTACAAGCATGTTTGCATCTGTCATAGTCCCTCCTATTCTTATAGATATCATAGCTCCCTTCTCCTCCTGCCCATGAAAAATGGCAAAAGAACAACGTTGTGCCCCAGATATTAGGACGGAACCGCCACCTGAAACTTTGGCCCCTGTAAATGACATGATTGTTCAGATCATCATCTTTGGATTTGCAATGAACATTAAGAGGCTGGTTGTCAGAAAGATTGTTCACGATGCGCATATGCACCAAGTATAGTCCAAGTATATGGTTTGTTTCTGCGTCTGATTTTTCTGTGATGGGGTTTGTGGATGTGGCAGGATCGCAGGTTGCCATGATGGGAAAAAGTAGCAACAAAAGCTGCTTGCTAATGGATCCCATGTTGGTGCAGTTTCAAGAGAAACACAACGTTCTTGTTTATATATAGGTTTCATGAGATTTTAGTTTTTTGCAGTAGTTTTGTTATACCCTTTTGCGTGTAAAAGTGAAACCAATGTAACTACTCAATTTGGGGCTTGCAAATGCTTCTGTGAAGGGGTTTCTGTGAAATGCAAAGTACGTGCAAAACTAACATCAACTAACGTACGTAAAAGGTTTCTCTCTTTGTTTTTCATTTAAAAGAGCACATCACACACACACACACACACACATATATATATATATATATATATATATATATATATATATATATATATATATATATATTACATTAATACAATTATTTTTATTTTATTGATTAAATAAATTAATATATAAATGATAATAATTATATATATTTTAATAATAATTTAGAAGTGAGTGTCATTCATCTCTATTATAATAATATTTAAGGTTAATTAAGATATTTTAAAATGAAATTTAAAGAATTTTTAGTAAGAATCGCTTAAAAATAAATATAAATATTTTATTATAATTTTTATAAACAAATTGTTTAAAATTTAGTCAGAATTATTTATATAAATAATTTTTTTAATTTTAAATTACTCAAATATAAAATTTATAATAAAATATTTATTTTTATTTTTAAATTATTCTTATTAACAAGAATTATTAAAGATGTTCTTAACATGTCATATGTATATATTTATTTTTATTCTTAAATAATTTTTATTAGCAAGAATCGTTAAAGATAGATACTTTTAATATCTTAGATGTATGGTTTGTTTTAAAATTTTAATCTATCATAATTTTAGCTTAAAAGAGAAAGATTTATATTATTATTATTATTATTATTATTATTATTATTATTATTATTATTATTATTATTCATATAAGACTCGTAGTGGAACAAATTTTATTTAAATTTTTATAAATTATTGATTAAATGAAACCGATTTAAAATTAAATTGATTTAATTTAGGTTATATTTATTTGTCTGACTTACCAATTGTATATAAGGAGTGAGAGAGATTTTCCATCTATATTTGTTTAAAGTTTATCTAAAAGTGTATATAATATATATATATATATATATATATATATATATATATAATTTATTTTAGGAGTATATACTTTTTTTAGAAAAAATATATCAAATTGTGAAATTGTATGACAAAAAGAAGTAGGACACAGTAAAGGAGTTAAAAGAGATAGTGATAGACAGATACATATACTCTTTGTCGGGTTCATCTCATCTTCTAAGAACTTCATGAGAAAGAATATCATCAATGGTGTTCTCTTCCCTTAAAATCACTTAGATTAACCCTAAAATTTATTCTCATAAAAATAAATTAGAAGAAGATATTGCTTAATCCCCACGCAAAGAATCTTCTTCATGTGATCACCACAAGAAAAGAATTGGGATATCACAAAAAATAAATATAGAGCTGAGATAAGTTTCGATACACTTTTTTTATAACAACTTTTACAAGAGAATAAGAAAAAATAAATAAATGAACTTTTATATATATATATATATATATATTAATATCAATTTATGTATAAGTTAGAAAATAACATTTTTTTTAAGAAAAGATTTATAATTGCTACATGTAAACAAAAAATTCAAATACATTTTTCAGGTTTTAACATAAAATCAATAATACGTGAAGTAATTAATAAATATTTAAATTATATCATATAAGATATTATAATACTACTAACACTTTAAATTTGTATTATTGTGAACATAAACCTAATTATTACACACTTTTAAGAAAAAAAATGTTAACAAAGGTGTGAAATTCAAGTTCGTAATGAGTGGCAAACAAATAATATAATGTTAAGAAAATTGAATATTAAATCATCCACCAAAATTGTAGAATATGTTAGATGTAAGAAGATATGAGAAAACTCATGTTCAAGTACAATATAACGCATTTCAACATGTATTAGATTAGAATGAGACTTCGATTTTTCCATGCAAAGGCTTTATATCCCTTGGTAGCAAGTAAGCTTCGTATGAATAATAATGCTGATCTCTATCACCCAATTCAAAACCCTACATGGCATACAACTTGTAGTTAATTACATAATTAAGAAATTTGATTATATATATTTAAGGGTTAAATAAGTTTTAATTACCACCTCTCAAAAATTTTCAATTTTTTAAGCTTAGTAAATATCTGTGGTTTTAGTAATTATTCTGTTATTATTAAACTAACGGGTTTTGATCATTTTGACAATATTAAATTTTGGGTGTAAATCATTAAAAAGTTTTGAAGTTATTAATTTAATATGGACCAATTTTGGAAAAAACTTATTTAATTAATTATTTACTTCATATTATAGTTGCACAAATTTTTCCTTTTATTTATATTACATAAATTTTATTTTTTAAATTCATATATATACTATTTTTTAATTTTATAAATTTGAACTGTAAGAACTAAAAAGATTGAAATTGATATTATATATTAAAAGAAATTAAAATAATGTATATAATTATAGAAACCAAAAAGTAAATTACCACTTTTAATTCTTATTCATATTATTTCAATCTTTTTCTATCATTATGAATTTAAACGTCACATGCTAAATACATTAAACTGAATAATTTTTTAGTCTTATTAATTATTTATTTCATTCAATCTGGTTTTCCCATTAATAAAAGGTATGATAAAGTGTTTCAAGTTAAAAATGTAGTAATGTTTTATTTTTTTTAAAGTAGAAATTTGAATGAACCATAAGAATCATTTTAAAATTTGAAGGTCATGATGAAAAGAACTAAAAGAAATTAAAATGTATGTATAAAGACTAAAATAAATGAGTTTTGAATATAGAAACTGCAAAGTAAAATTTGTTGTATAAAGATTAAACAAATAAACCTCAAAATTATGATTATGAACCAAATGGGGAGATTATTGTACCTTGTGCCACGGAACCAGCATTGATCATAGGACTACTCCTCTCTGGTTGAAGTGGTGATGTTTGTGGAGATGGCCTTTCCAGCTTCATGGAAGCATCAAATTTGTTGTGATGATTACCTACAGTTTCTCCATGGAGTACCACTGGCTTTGTGTCATAGATCTCTGACATGGGATCACTGTCCATTGATGGTGGTGAAATCTGAACCTTGTGATCACCTTTGAAAGGGTCCTCTTGAGGACTAATGCATGATGAAGCTGTTCCCAAATCTTGAAGCCTGAGATCATCACTCCAGATCAATGGACTCTTCCCACTTCCACTGTAGGGGCAAAGCCTCTTCTTCCCCTCAAACATACTCTCATTGTTATTTGATGTCATAAACCCTTCAAGTTGGTCACCACCATACAAGTTAAGATCTTGAAAAGAAGGGTAATTCAGAGAACCAAATTCTTTCATGACCCCCATGTCAGGGGTTCCTTGACCTCCTCCCATACCCTTCATGTTCATGTTTTCACCAGCAAGTGTGTGATAAGCCTTCTCCAATATACTTTGCATGTATTTTCCTTGAGCCTCAATCCTCAGCTGAAGGTTTTTTTGAACCTGCCAAACCCATGTTCAACATCCTCATGCCAAACTTAAAAAGCAAGGTTTAATATTCTGTTTCCATGATCATGCATCACTAATTATTTAATTTTGAATTCCATACATTAATATTTATCTGTGTTCTCCTTACTTTTTCCAGGTTTATTAATATTATATTCAATTACATTTATGAACATTCTTCTGGTGCACATGTTTAGCTAACATCTGATAACTTTTTAGAAAGATCTAAAATTTATTTATTTAGTTAAATAAATAAATAAAAGTGAGGAAAAAAAATAGTATAGGAAGTAATTTTTATTCCTAGGGAAAAATGTAAAATTCGTACTTTTCATAGGAAAAAGAAATGAGACAAGAATGAGTATATCATACTTTTAATAATCATCTGTGTTCGAGAATATATTTTAAGAAGTTATATATAACAACCTGAGAATGTGATATTTATTTATGATAACATAATCAAAACAAACACATAATTAAATGGACTTTAAACAATCGTGTTTACCTCTAGTTGTTCATGCAATCTTCTCTGCACTTCCATTTGCATCCTATATATTGCATCCAACAACCCAGTTAAGAAAATCAAAAGAAAAACATAGTACAGGTCATTGAAATTTAGAAACAATCTACGTTTAGGATATAAGAAATGTTATCGTAAAGTTTCAAAAATAATCTCTCAAAAAAGAGAAAGTTAACTATTTTCAATAGAAGTGACGTAAGCATACTCGTTCATGTTGCGACCAATCATGGCAGAAGAGGAGCCAATGTTTCGTTGAAGTTCTAAAGCTGAAGCTGGCAGTATAAAAAGATGTTATGAAATTATTAGAGTAACCTCATGAATTGTAAAGATAAAACCACGAAAGAATAAGATAATTAAAGTGATTAATTAACTAGGAAAAAAGAGTACGTAATAACCTCTCATGCCATCCTTAATAGAGTGTTCGTTGAAATCCTTGTGGGGCTGCTTTCCAAGCCTGAATTTCTACGAATTTCAAAGAACAAATTAATCACCGAACATAAAGGAAAAGGGAAAAGGGAAAAAAAGAGAGGCAACAAGATAGCCAGAGAAATCCAGTGTCACAAAAGTGTTCTAAATTGAAAAAGCAAAAGAAGTGTGGAATTGAATATGGCTTGTGTTCAAACCTGAAGGTGGCTCTTGAGGTGGTAAAGGGTAAGACCCTTCACACCCATCACCCTCATGATTGTCTTAGGAGTGGCCTCTGCAAATCATTCAACACGAAAGAGAGCCACTAAGTAAAGGAATATTATATGAACGTCTCTAATATATATATATAGTTTGCACCGGATGAGAGAAAAGAACAAAAAGGGTAACTAAGAGAAGTACTATCAGGTCCTCCAAGCTGAGCAACAGCATCAACAAAGCGTTCATGGAGTTCAACAGTCCAACGAAGACGTGGCTTAGGGTCTGTGGTGAGGACAAGCCCTGAATCTCCTTGAACACACATGGCTCTGTCATGGGAATTCATAGTTGAAGGCTTCTTCGGAGGGAACATTCTTTCCATCTCTCTCCAATTCTGGCTCTCTTTCTAATGAGAAGAAGCTCAGAAAGATTAGAAAGAAATTGTAGAACAAATTCGATGATGCAAAGAGAGATGAATATGGTGCGTTTTGATTGAAGAGGAAATGGAGGATGTGAAAGCCTTTAGCTATTGCTGCTACCTCCTCTTAAAGTGTAGAGAATAAGGGAAGAGCTACCTTGCTTAAAAAGAATGTATTAAATAATTTTATTTTATTTTTATCTTAAAAAAGAATAAAGCATTCCTATTCTAACATGCAAACCTTCCTTTGTAAAAAGTCACTCTCTCTTTCTCTCTCATTCCTTCATCCTTTGATTATCTTTGGACTTTCAGGTTATATTTTTTGACGTTAATACCTTCTGTCACTAACTTTATCTCTTAATTTAATTAATAGATTTTATATTACGTTTAAATTTCTAATAAGTTTTTAAGTTAATGTTAACTCTCTTATTCCACGATTTTATTACCTTTGATTCGTATCATATTGTATTTACTAATTCGATCTTGTAAAATGGAGATATTGATCTTCATGCAATTCTATTTTATTTTTAGCTTTTTCTGATATAATATATAAGTTTTAGCAACAAGTAAAATGAAAATTAATGAATTGCATTCAATTTAAAACTACTAAATAATTTTATTTTTTTATATTAAAAACGAATGTAAAAAAAAAAAATACATAGTTCTTTTACAAATTGAAATGTACGTTAGTTGAACGTGTTATGGGCATAAGGCATAACCTCAGCATTTTGGTCGTTTCTATGATGCATGGTTTCTTGGTACGACAACCTTTTCAACACAATGATTAGTATGAATCCATCAACTATCTTTTACAACATCTTTAACGCATATTTTAGCCAAATTCTGAAATTTAATATCTAATTTTTAAAAAAATATTCAAACATATTAATGTGGTATAAGAAAGCCCTTAAATTTAACGTATAGATTTTGGTATAAGATTTTAGATCATGAGAACTAAAAAATAATAAATCATAATAATTAAATTAATTTTTTTAAGTTATAAAAAGTAAAATAAATATAAAAAAATTATGAAAGTATAAGTCTTATAAGAGCATTGTATTAGATATCTTAATTAGGTACAATAATAACAGTTTTAATATTAATTTTAAGTTGATAGAGGAGGTTGTAGATATAAAGCATTATAAGATTCAAACCCTTACCACTTTTGTGTTGCTCAAGTTTCCCTTCCATGCATTTTAAACAGTGAATAAAATTCAAATTCAATTTGCATGCATTAAGAAACGATGATGATAAATATTGAAAAGAAAACATAAAGAAAAAAAATGAAGTTATTCTTCCGAATCGAATGAGAATAAATGCTTTCTTTTTTAACAATCAAAGGAAGATTCCACTTCCAAAAGTATAAAAGTTAATGTCATACACAAAATGCTTATATAACAGTTTATAATAATGCTATTGTAAAACCATCTTTATGAAAAATTGTTCCCACTTGTAAACCTACATTATCATAAATGTTTACTAGAATTTCAATTAAAAAAATTTAAAAGTTAAATTTTTTTATATATATAAGTTAATTTATGAAAACTTTTTAATATATTTTTCAAACAATTTATTTTTAACATATAAAAAATAATTTTAATTTATAGAAAAGTTATATATATATATATATATATATATATATATATATATATATATTTATACTTATTTCAGATTATTTTTAATAAGAAACTTTGAGAATTTTATAACTATATTAACCTAATACTCTTTTATGGAAATGGAGTGAAAGAAATATCACAATTGTAAATATATCATTAAAAAATAAGATAGATAGTTATTATTATAATAATAGTTGTAAGTTATTAATTTGAAGAGTGATTAAAAAAATCAGATCGATCATTAGTATTATTGTAATAGTAGTTGTAAGTTATTAATTTCACTATAATTATAAATATAATTGTTATTTATATTTTATATATCAAATTTTGTTTTATCATAATTTATAAAGTTTTACTATTTTTTTTATAATTAATATATTTTTGTATTATATCTTACTCTTTTACCATAGATCTAGAAATTTTATTGTTTTTTTTACATGTAGTACATATCTATCTAAACATTATCTAACTGTTCTTCACCTTTCACTTATTTCTATCTTGTAATAGTTCTATCTCATATTTATTTTTTATCTCGTATTTATCTGTTCTTCACCTTTCACTTATTTCTATCTTGTACTAGTTCTATCTCATATTCATTTTTTATCTCGTATTTATCCTATATGTTTAAAAAATTTATGATGAAATTGAATTTGGGAAAAAAGAGAGGAGAAGATGTAAACTTGTCATATAATTTTAGCTACTGAACAAACAATTTTGGAGGAGAGTCGAAGGAAAAAATAAGAAAAGAAATGAAAGATTAGGTCATAAGAGAAAAATATAAAGAAAAAATACACGTATATATACAATAATAATTATAAAATTGTTGTTAAAAAATTAAATATAATAATCATTATAAATGAACTATTATTAAAAATTAAAAATAATTTCAAAAATATTATTGTATTTACAATTCATATATAATTGTTATTAAAACAAAATGTATTGTTTGTACATATAAAATAACTATATATATATATATATATATATATATATATATATTTATTATTAACATGTTTTTTAGAAGAAAAAAAAGTTATCTATGTTTTTTAGCTCGAGTATGGTCAAGTATTGCGAGCAAAAGACTGAGCCCTTGCAAAGCTCGATGAGCTACAAATCTTGGTTGTCCATCAAGAGACGAAGATCAAAGAAGCTCAAAAATGCAGTGAAGATATGAGTCAGGTGGTCCAGAAGCAAAGCGAAGCACTCGCTCGTCACGTCCGGGAAGCCAAAAAGGAATTACATAGAGATTAAGACCCGCCTGTGGGTTTCTTTAGACTTTTCCGTTTCTGTCAAAAGTTGCTTCGTAGTATGGAATAGGGGAATGTACACCTTCTATGGATAAATGAATTTTTCTTTATTCAAACGATTGTCTACTTGCATGCATATCATTCATTTGCATATTTAACTTCCCCTCCTTCATTTTTAATAAACAAGATAATAAAAAGGAAGGATTAACTGACACGTCTTCCAAATTAGAAGAATGGAAAGAATGCCGATTTTAATCAAGTTCTCCCCAATGGTCTATCCACCACAAGAGGGTAATAAGTCTCGGTCGTTGGTTCTCAAAATCAATAAGGAAGAGGGGGCAAGGACGCATGTGCGACTATTTATGCCACATCCTTTCCCCTACGAATCAAGTAAAACTGTACCATGGAGATACAGAACATCTTCACCAATAAAGGAGGATATCTCCAATATAGCCGGCATTGGGGACATGACTAGAAGTGGAAGGGTCTACTCCCCCAAGGACTTTCAAAATGATACCCCGAAGAATAAAGGAAAAAATAAACAGACCGACACTACTAGAAAATATACTTTCAACGTCGCTGTTTAACGTCGGTTATATCTTAGCCGACGTTAAATATGATTTCAACGTCGGTTGTTGACCAACCGACGTTGAAAGTCGAATTCTGACACATTCTACGTCGTTTTAGCATGCCCGACGTGGAAAGTAGGATTTCGACGTCGGTTATGCCTTCACCCGACGTTGAAAACCCATCTGCATGGCTTTCAACATCGGGTGTGGGCATAACCGACGTTGAAACCCCGTTTTCCCATTTGAATAGGCTACCATTTTGTATCTCCCCTTACTCTCCAGCATCGCGGCCTCCCTCACTTTGGACTCTCCGGACGCCCTCCCTCACGTCGTCACCGCGAACCGCGTGACACCCCCGCCGCAGCACCTCCACCCCACTGCAGCTTCCACCCCACCGCGACGGTAGGCGCCGCACCGTCCACCGCAGACTCCAGCCGCACCGCAGGCTCAACCTCCACCCTACCACAGCCTCCACCTCCACCCCACCCCACCAGAACCTCTACCCCACCACGACGCTAGTCGCCCACCGCGACGCTAGTCGCCCACCCTCCACCCCCACCGCAGCCTCCACCCACATTGCATTGTCCGTTCACCACGAGTGTCGACCCTAACGCCGCACTTGCATCCTCCACCTCCACCCCGGTGCAGCGGCTGCTCGTTTCTCGTGGTGCGCACCTTCATCGCTGCCTTAACCCACAGGTACGATGTTTACTTACTACATTTCATAGGTAGAGATTCTTAGTCATTTGCCGTTAACTGTTGATTCAATTCTTAGTCATATTATAGATTTTTTCAATGTATTGATGATGTGTACAATTATACTTGAAGCTGCTTGAATATGCCCGTGGGACTTTTTATTGTCGATTTCATCGTGTCATTTAAAATTGTTGCCAAAAAATAAAGGAAACTCTGCGGGATTTTTGTTAGAAATTAATCATGAAGTGTGAATTCGAAAACTACATATAACAATGTAGTTATATAAGTGATGGTAGTAACAATGAAAACTCGATAATTTCAATTTATACAAATTTGGTTTTGACAAAAAAATAGACGAAATTCTGTTGAAATTTCGTTACAAATTAATATACTTTGGTATAGATTTCATTAGAGATAACGATTATTAGTATTAATCGTTTTATGGGTTTCTCATTTGTAGACTCCAATTCCAAAATGGATCGAAGTTGGGTAAATACAAGTCGTATTTCACAAGAGTATGAGAATGGAGTTGAAGAATTTTTGCGATTTGCCGAACACAATGGCACCAAGGTTAATGGAAAATTGTATTGTCCATGCGTTAACTGCGTTAATGGGAGAGTACACACACTAGAGACAATACGGGAACATCTTTTATGTGATGGGATAATGAAGAATTATATCCTATGGACATGGCATGGTGAAGTGATTGATACACCAATAGTAACACAAGCTGAGGAAGAGGAGGATATGACAATGGAAGATCGAATAGAAGACATGATTCGTGATGTAGGTCAAGAGAATTTTCTGCAAGCACATGCTGCTGTCTA